AATCACAAAATCTCGTTCCCATCTTACCTCACATGGGAACTTAATGTGCTGGTTTATTCTCTTAATGACCCGTTTAAAAAAGTTTTCATAATTGGGGGGGGGGGCACCGTATTTATGTTAATCGTGGCCGTTGAATTCAAAGTTGAAAATGCGATTTTCACAAGTCTATTCCACACTGAAAGGGGCACTTTGCTACGGGGGGCAAAATTGGGGGCACGTCCCCCCTATAACATTGGTCAATATCGAACAAAGAATGGCCCACAAAACTGTCGCTAATACAATGATTAGTGAACGTTAATTATAATTAAATAAAAATGTTACAGGGTCAAAACGGAAAAACCCAAAGTAGTTTGGATAATTGTTACCTGTAACTTTTTAATAATAAAAAAAAAAAGGTGTGTTAATGATGGAAGATACGAGTTTCCGCTTCGTTTTTTTTAAAACTTGGAAACATGTTAATTAAAAATGGTCCCCAGCTGATGCAGATGTATCTTAACAGTATGCTGGACTTGGTTAAAGAAATATAGTTTCTCTTCTGCTTTTTCTAGATCGGGGTTGCTTTTCTATTGAATCTGATCTGTACTGGCAGAATTTAGTGACGAAACATTACTTACAGGTTTCACGAATATTAGTGCTAGACTTATTTCGGTCATTTTTTTTTAAAAGTCTTGTATCAAGAAGACTATAATGGTTGCATTATGGCTGGAGGTCATGAACCAAAGCTTCATTTGACGTTGTTTTAAAGGGCGGGGGCAGATGCCACACAATGAAAAAACCCCTTTAATTCTCTAACAACGAAGTTTGGAGACTCGGTTTCCTCTGGCACCTGTTGTCTGGATATTTGGTATCCTCCAACAATGATGGTTGGAGGCTAGATATCATCTAACAACGATGTCTGGAGATTGGGTAAACTCTGATAACGATGTCTGGAGACATGGCGTTACGCATACTCACTGCCTTTGTCCAATAGTTAAGCAGTATATGTTTTTAGTAATTGAAAAAAAAATAAGAAGCTACTTAACCCTTGATTTTGAACAAGGGTACGTTATATATCAGGCCACACATTTTGTTAGTGTGAGTACGTTTTTTGTCCATTGGCTTATTTATAACAGTTTTAATTATTATGAGACTTTTTTTTGACCCCCTCACATCACAGATATATTAGTTAAACGTTCAATAAAACATGTTTGTCATTACACATTTGTTTGATACCTTGATAATAGGAGGATTAAATGTAAATATTTACATTAATCATGCCATTATAAAACGTAAAACCTATAAGGCATGTATGGGTTGGCCCAATACTTACTTTCAATGTGTTAATCACGTGCTTACTGTAATTGGCTTGAGCAATAAGATATTATATCTTAATATAGTCACTAGATGGCACCACAATGATACCTGGGAAGTTGGAAAGCATTTAAAAAATTTAAATTTGAATTCTATAGAAAAATTCCGCTATTTTCTCGGCATACTTTTTTTTTTTGAGATATTTTATGAAAACGTGATAGTGGATGTTAAAGAAATGTCACAATCCAAGCGTTTCGCGGAAAACTGTTACAAATGTCTTTTGGTAATAGTGCTTTAACAAACTGGGAAATTTGACTTAAAGTCCAATTTAGTAGCTGAAGAACTAAACTGTAACCCCCCTAAAAAAAACAACAACAACTGAAATTTGATGTTTGCTGCAGTAACTTGTAATCATACCAATACAATACAATAAACAATATGCACGAAAATGATGGCATACAAAGAAAATTAAATTAGAATTCCTCGTGCACAAAGAACATTTGTTTTGTCGATGAAAAATAGAACATCATTGGGTTGGTTGGTTTTGAACTAATTATTAATAACGTGAGAGATATCTGCACTTTTTTTAATTCCATTCATTTTCACGGAGAAATTTAGGCCTGTTTATTAGGCTTACAATCGAAGAAGTAAAAAAAAAAAAGTGTTCGTGATTTAATATTCGTAGTTCCGTTTATTTCATTAACAATAAAATGAACGTTACTTTTTTTCAACGACAGATGCCGCTCCAAAACTTCAATGTGTATTGTTCACTACTTTCTGCGAACCATGATGTGTATCTAACATTCATAATTCGCAGTAGAACAAAACCAAGAGAGAAAAATGCAGCTGTCTGTTTTATGTTTTTAAGCATAAAGCTACGCAACGAGCTATCTGCCCCGTGTACATAGCAAGGATAGAACCCCAATTTTTAGCGTTATAAGCCCGCGGAGTTCGTTACTTGTGTGCAGAACAATTTCGTAATAATATACACGTTCATATAGTCATAAGTGACTAAAGAACGTCAAGAAATAAATAGTTTTAGGGTCATGATTAATAATCTACACATTTACAATGATTTAGAAATCATCCACTGTGCGCATGCGCTAAAGTGTGTATAAATATCATCAAGGAGGTAAGAGAACGACTGAGTTTAGTACTGGGCTGTCAGGAGATCTTTGCTGCTTGAACTAACAGAAATACAAATAACGTATGCTAATTCCTCTCAAAAGACGGACAAAGAATTCCTTCGTAACTTTACCTAATAATTTGTATTGCTACATAGTTATGCATATATTTTCTGTTCAGTACAGTATTAGTAAGGTTTCAAAACGGGCTGGGTGGGTTAGGATACTCACCTATAGTGAACGAGCTAAACCTAATTCAATAGATTAACAAAGGAAAATCGTTTAAAATTCTTGTTCTGAGCCCATCGGTACACATCGAACATCTAAAATCTGATCGTAAGAATAAATATTGCTAAATGTACGAGAAACGGCCGTTTCAGAACCCGAAACTCCGACTCTTTCATGCTAAAACGTGCAGCCCACACTAACTGAACAAGTAATGGATCTTATGAGTAACTTCACGTAACGCTAAGGGAATTGTCATGAATCAAAGACTACGCTAAACAGATATGTATAGTATATTCCAGAATTTCCTTTAAATATATTGGAAACAAAGCCCCTAAAACAACACACGGCTTCAAAAACTTCCACCACAACAAACTGAATAAAAGTCTAGGCTACTAGACTCGCCCGTTGAAGGCGTGTGACCGTTGTCATAGTAACAGCATCTGCAGACGTTGCATTTTTGAGGTCACGTGCTAATATGTACAATACTAAGATTAATAAGTTCGTTTATACTTTCCCGTCTTCAGCGTGTGGAGAATATTCTTGTTCAGAAATGTTTTATTTTAATTCATTCTTTTTTTCCCCCTCGTCCGGCAGTGCTGTTGAAGACTGGAGCTTGACGGTGTTTTATAAGTGCTCTTTACTCGATTAGCATTTCTGTAAAACAAACTAGCAGAAACAATAGTACAATCAGATTCCAGCCACACACCTGTTAGGTATCTGCATGGTATAGCTAACCCTCGTTACAGAAACTGTAAACCAACACCTGAAATACGACGGAGTAGGTAATTCAATAAGTGAATTACTGTAGTTACAAATGTTAAAGAACCTGCAGAACGAATATGACCTGTTTGTCAAATTTAAGAGCGGTTCCTTGGTTGTGACGCTGACAATTTGAGGATGCACATTACTGGTAGAACTGGTCAGTAGTGGACGCAGGCCCTTCGGTGAGATCCGGTGAAACAAACAGCTATTAAAAAACCAAAGTTCTTCATATTTGGATTGAGTTTAAACAGACAGTTAAAGAACAGGTGACGTAGACTACGGCTTTAAATACTAGACTTGGTTGCACCACTAATACAATTTTGGTATGAAAATGAAGAAAAGGGAAAAATGAAACTTAAAAAAAAAAAGCTTTAACAAGAGCTGTTTAGAGCGAGTTGTAAAAAACCGAGCCTATATCCAACGATTCTTGAAATAGTAGCAGTTTGAATCAAACTGTGGCTGTTCTCTGAACTAATCAGCAAGACGTCATTCAGAGCATGCGCAACTCTTAAGACACAACAAAGCCACGCTTAAAGTGAAAACCCACGGGGAAAAAAAACAATAAATAAGCTATACTTTAACTCAAAACTTTCTTAACTACCCAAGAAAACCAGTTATGATACGAACATTTGCTACAACACACGAATCGTTGTTAAGCCTAAACATATACAGTAGCTTCCATAGTAAAGCAGTTTTCGGTACTTACAATAACGTAGTAGTGAATGAAAATAGATTTAAAAACTATTTATATAAACTACAATATCATAACATACCGATATTAGTATTTCAAACTCCACGATTTTTCTCACTAAAGAAGTATTTCAACCTTACATTGATCGACTACATTTTAGGCCTAACACTAACGTTATTATTAGTTTCTTTCATTGTCATATTTCCCCATGAGAGAGCGATTCTCTTTTAAAAGTGTAATATTAACAATACACGAGAACAATTACCTTTGGTTTAATACAGTGCAACGTTATTTGATAACCGACATTTTTGTTACAGAGTATAAATAAAATATTAACACTTGAACTAAGATTTTTAAAAATACCGATCATTATGACAGTGAATTGGACAAATTTTTTTTTCGACATTATAATGTTTATAATTATATCCAATTCCGTTAGGAAATCACTGTACTATTTTGTTTAACCGTTCACAAAATAACGTTAATTTTCTTAACTTTCTGCACGAAAAACCAAAACTACCACTAATGCTAATACTTATTTGAAACATTTAGATTATAGAATGAATTATTTAGGAATAATTTTGGGGCATGAATTGAAATTGTAAAGTTGACTAATCTCTCGTGAGGAAATATTTTCGTCATATGGTAACCTACTTAAACTTTGAGCACTTTTTTTTGTTTATATAAACACCGATTTTCTAGCTTTGTAGGCTTAACGATGTCCCAACTATTTTGATTTTGATGCGCAAGTCAATGCATGTCTGCTACGTAAAATTTCGAGAAGCCTATATGATCATATTAGATGATTGTAAGAGAAAAATTTTATATTGCAAGAAAAAAAATCCAAGGTAAAGAAGAAAAACCCGCAGTTTAAGTCTTTCACCTCCAGTGGTTTGAGTGGGATTTTGAAGATAGTCGCCATATTATAGGAAAAACTCAAATTTAACACACACGTCCGTCTGCACGTGCTCTTTACCGCTCTGTTTTGTGTACTGTTCTTCACTAAAGCACGTCTGAGTTTCGTTTCTAAAGTTGTTGTTTCCAAAGTCCTTCCGATAGCACCGGGACCATGAATACTTGTTTAATATTAGGTTGTTTACTACCAGAGGAAATTATGAAGAACCTGTCCACGTCAGTCAAGTGGGTGAAACAAAAAAGTTTTTACCTCGGCTAGGTCTCCAAGTTGTTAATAAACATTTGAGTGAGTAGCTTAAGTTATGAGCTACTCATTTTTATTTTCTGTTTCAAACTATGTTTTGGGGAACCTGATACGCTTCATCTTTACCACCATACGTTAAAACACGGGACCAGTCCTTTCGTCAAATTGAAACATTTGTTTTTGTATTTCGGCACTAATGATCCAAAAAGGGGAAGGATTAATCCCAACACTAGTCTTAAACGAAATACTGTTCTTTGATTTCCACGTTCTTTCCTTTGGGAGGCAGCGGAAGTGTCGCTGATTTGTCAATGGAGTTTTCTCTGGGCTTCCAAACTGGTGACCCCGCTGGTTCAGATGGTGGAGGCTGGTAGTTTGTCGGTGGATTGCTGGAAATGATAAGTTTCGCTGAAGAACTACATGTACTGGAGTTAGAAAGCGTAGAAGCGGTACTGAGGCTTAGGCCTTTCGTAGTCCCAAGATTGGGTTTTCCGTTTATACGTCCCTGAGATCGTTCAGATTTCTCGGACTTGTCTGACTTATCCGACCTGTCGGATATAGCCACTGGAGATTGTCCTCGTGACTCGGACAGGTCCCTGGAGGCGCTGATAGGAACTTCGCCGTCCGCCACTGTCTTACTTCTTGTTCGAAAATTCTGGTCGACGTTGTCGTAAATTTCATACTCGTTATTTACTACACTCGCGGAGTGGCGCTGATGTGTTTTCGCGCCCTTTTTGCTAAGAGTCCTGCTCATGGCTTGCAAATCGGGGGGTTTCCGGGGGACTGCGGGCTTTTCTCGAGGTCCCTGTTTATTGGCTGGTACTGTCATGTTTCTAACACTTTCTCGAATTATCTGTCTGATTGTTCGAAGAAAGGCATTCCGGAAATCACACGTGCTGAAATATACATAATCAAACTTTATCCTATTTCACCTGAATAAAACAAACATAATGACAAGTAATTAAACTTTACCTCACTAACTCCTTAGATAAAAACATAATGACAAGTAATTAAACTTTACCTTACTCTAACTCCTTGAATAAAAACATAATGACAAGTAATTAAACTTTACCTTACTTTAATCCTTAGATAAAAACATAATGACAAGTAATTAAACTTTACCTTACTCTAACTCCTTGAATAAAAACATAATGACAAGTAATTAAACTTTACCTTACTCTAACTACCTGAATGAAATAAACACCATGGTGAATTTCTAGAAATGTTTTTTAACACTACTTCAAACTCTCGACCATTAATGACTAATAAACACGAATATTCTACGGTATCCGATCTAATCATCATATTTGTTCGTTAGTTGGAATGAACAGTTAGCGCCCTCTACCGTATACCCAAACAAGCCAAGATCACACCGTACATTTACAAGTAATATTAAAGACCTCTGGTGTTTGTGTCGTCACCCTATATAAGATACACAATATGTCAACACACAATAAGTAATGGAATAACCCGTAATGGGCCTGTTAAGAACGAAGTAGCTTACCCCAGAATTACTGATAATATTTTAAACAATTTTTTGAAGTGCTTAGGCGTTCATGACATTGTTTGTTACAAGGTTCCAAATACTATATGAACAAAAACACAATCAATAATGTAATTAATGTCACTTTCTACTGATGGGGGGCCTCATGTATTTTACATAGGAAAGTAATAATTTCACCCGTTTTTTTTACACTTAATGCAGTGACAGGCAATACGAAGAAATATGTGGGTACTACGGTAGTGAACGGTACAAATAATTCTTCTCGTGATTCATGGCATGCGCACGTTTCACTGACGTCACAGCAGTACAAATTGCAACATTAAGCGCCCCTTATGTGACGTCATTTTAGTGTCTTCTGACTGATTGACAACACACTACTGTATACTGGTTCGAGTGGTACTAATTGCAACGCTAAGTGGCCCTTATGTGACGTCATTTTAGTGTTGACTGACTGACAAACAACACACTACTGTATACTGGTTCGAGTGGTACTAATTGCAACGCTAAGTGGCCCTTATGTGACGTCATTTTAGTGTCTTCTGACTGATTGACAACACATTACTGTATAGTGGTTCGAGTGGTACTAATTGCAACGCTAAGTGGCCCTTATGTGACGTCATTTTAGTGTCTTCTGACTGACTGACAAGACACTACTGTATAGTGGTTCGATTGGTACTAATTGCAACGTTCAGTGCCCCTTATGTGACGTCATTTTAGTGTTGACTGACTGACAAACAACACACTACTGTATACTGGTGCAAGTGGTTAAAATTGGTAACTCCTCCTAGCGGCCTTTGCCTCCCTTTCGTGGAAATTAGGGTATTGCTATGTAACTCCTGGAACACGGTAATATAAAACGTTTTCTATTATAAATTGTAAAACAACTGGTTTTTAGTCCTACCTGTTAGATAGTTGATATACTTTCTCTGAACGTCTTTGTATCTGGGATTTCAAGTGGATGAGCTCCCATAGGAAATGAGATTCGCCATCTTTAATTCCACTAGCTCTTACTTGGACTTCGGTCACAGGGATCAACACTTGATAACGGATAATTTCTACCTCAGGAGCACTTGCCTTGCTAGAGCTTCCCTGTTAAAATTAAAACACGTTTAAAAAATGTCATGAGACTTTTTGAAACGTTTTTATTCAACAAGCAGTGCAAATTTGATTTCCAAGAAAATAAAATATACGCGAATTAATCTTTTATATAAAGTTATATCAATTTTATGTAATACCAAGATTAAATCATCTTTAAAGTGGTAAATAAAACAGTATTTCTTATTTTGACCGCTAGGAGTTACTCCTAGCGGTCAAAATAAGAAATACTGCTCGCAATCTTTTCATATATATCCGCAGTGAATCAAATCGCTAGTTCTACTGGCTTAAAGATTCTCAATTAATCTTAGATTCTAAAGTTTACGGCACAACAAGCCTCATTATATTAAATGTTATATTATAATGATCGTTTGATTGCTGTATATTTCTAAAACATTATTTGATTTTTCTGACATCATATTCCAGACGATTATAATTCTGCGTTTTAATAAATAAACACGGGTAATTCTAAAGTCAAATAGCGTGTATTCTGTTATAATAGTAAGTTCAGTTAAATTGTAAATATAACAGTCAAATTGACCATATTGTAAAATTGTGATTAGTCAGAATCCACGTCATAGAAATCTGAGATTGATTGTACACGCGATGGAATTCTGGGGCTGGTCAGTATGACACGCGATGGAAATTCTGGGGTTGGTCAGTATGACACGCGATGGAAATTCTGGGGCTGGTCAGTATGACACGCGATGGAAATTCTGGGGCTGGTCAGTATGACACGCGATGGAAATTCTGGGGCTGGTCAGTATGACACGTGATGGAAATTCTGGGGCTGGTCAGTATGACACGCAATGGAAATTCTGGGGCTGGTCAGTATGACATGTGATGGAAATTCTGGGGCTAGTCATATCGATTACATAACGTATGAGATTTAAATGAAAGAGCATAAAAATCATTATTAACGAAATGGTAACATAAAGGTACCAGGGCCTCTCTTAAAGACATCATAAGGTACGTGAAGCACCAATGAAGTGTGTTTTCAAACACACACAGACCTGATCGAATTGACTTTAAAAGTTAAATTGAACTCAAACACTAATCTTAGTTTCTCTCGGATATAAGTTTTGACAAAATCGTTATTTTACCCTTAATACAAATTAATTTATTTGAAATGATTAAAGGCAGAAATATACAACAGTCTCCAAACTATCCGAGGTTAAAGTACAATCCCACATCTTCCTATGCATCAAGATTTGGTATTAAAGTAATATTCTATCATAACTGAATTTTAGGTCTTAAATTACTCTGTCTCTATATATATAATTGTTCTAAAAAGACGTCTGTGGAAAGCCGAAGAGAAACAACTTGTCAATGGAAGAACGGACAACGATGGTTATATTTTAAGTTTTATTTTTTTTTTATTTGAACATTCTCGTAACACACAATAACTACTGAATACCAGGTAATTTACCATCAACTTTTTCTTCTGTCTGATCCTTTCCTTGCAAAGAAAAACTACGGCCGTCTTGAAGACGAAACACATGGCATGTAATTCCAGTCCTTTCTTGATTTTACCCAGAAACTCGGACATATTCAGCCATTCCACGCCTCCGTAATAGAGGAGCTCTCCAGGGCTGAGGTCCACATTCTGTATCGGAAAGTACAGTTTGTGAAGTGTCTTCACGATAAGTTATAGAGTTACAGGCTTGATATATATAAATCCTGCTATTACCTTTTGTGTGGGGCTTACAAAACGAGTCAGAAACAGTTCAAGTTCTAACTTAAACTACTTACAATAAACAGTCCACTATCAGTTCTAACTGTACAGTTCCTACACTACTTACAATAAACAGTTCACGAGAAGTTCTAACTGTACAGTTCCTACACTATTTACAATAAACAGTTCACGAGAAGTTCTAACCGTACAGTTCCTACACTACTTACAATAAACAGTTCACTACAAGATCTAACTGTACAGTTCCTACACTACTTACAATAAACAGCTCACTACAAGATCTAACCATACAGTTTCTACACTACTTACAATAAACAGTTCACGAGAAGTTCTAACTGTACAGTTCCTACACAACTTACAATAAACAGTCCACTACAAGATCTAACTGTACAGTTCCTACACTACTTACAATAAACAGCTCACTACAAGATCTAACCATACAGTTCCTACACTACTTACAATAAACAGTTCACTACAAGATCTAACTGCACAGTTTCTACACTACTTACAATAAACAGTTCACGAGAAGTTCTAACTGTACAGTTCCTACACTACTTACAATAAACAGTCCACTACAAGATCTAACTGTACAGTTCCTACACTACTCACAATAAAGAATTCACGAGAAGATCTAATTGTACAGTTCCTACACTACTTACAATAAACAGTTCACGAGAAGATCTAACTGTACAGTTCCTACACTACTTACAATAAACAGTTCACTACAAGATCTAACTGTACAGTTTCTACACTACTCACAATAAAGAATTCACGAGAAGATCTAACTGTACAGTTCCTACACTACTTACAATAAACAGTTCACGAGAAGATCTAACTGTATAGTTCCTACACTACTTACAATAAACAGTCCACTACAAGATCTAACTGTACAGTTCCTACACAACTTACAATAAACAGTCCACTACAAGATCTAACCGTACAGTTCCTACACTACTCACAATAAACAGTCCACTACAAGATCTAACTGTACAGTTTCTACACTACTTACAATAAACAGTTCACGAGAAGTTCTAACTGTACAGTTCCTACACTACTCACTATAAAAAATTCACGAGAAGTTCTAACTGTACAGTTCCCACACTACTTACAATAAACAGTTAATGAGAAGTTCTAACTGTACAGTTCCTACACTACTTACAATAAACAGTCCACTACAAGATCTAACTGTACAGTTCCTACACTATTCACAATAAAGAATTCACGAGAAGATCTAACTGTACAGTTCCTACACTACTTACAATAAACAGTTCACTACAAGATCTAACTGTACAGTTCCTACACTACTCACAATAAAGAATTCACGAGAAGATCTAACTGTACAGTTCCCACACTACTTACAATAAACAGTCCACTACAAGATCTAACTGTACAGTTCCTACACTACTCACAATAAACAGTTCACTACAAGATCTAACTGTACAGTTCCTACACTACTCACAATAAACAGTTCACTACAAGATCTAACTGCACAGTTTCTACACTACTGACAATAAACAGTTCACGAGAAGTTCTAACTGTACAGTTCCTACACTATTTACAATAAACAGTTCACTACAAGATCTAACTGTACAGTTCCTACACTACTCACAATAAATAATTCACGAGAAGTTCTAACTGTACAGTTCCTACACTACTTACAATAAACAGTCCACTACAAGATCTAACTGTACAGTTCCTACACTACTTACAATAAACAGTCCACTACAAGATCTAACTGTACAGTTCCTACACTACTTACAATAAAGAATTCACGAGAAGTTCTAACTGTACAGTTTCTATACTACTTACAATACAAGTTCTAGCCGTACAGTTTTATCACAATAACAATGAAACAAGTTACACAGTGAACTACACATATTAAAACTGTAATCAACTTTGACATTAATGTTCATCTGAGATCTTAACATATTGTATGACGTCACGTCTTTCTGAGTAGGTTTTTATATTAAACTCGTTTCATGTTATATTTTACATATACACTGTAGATGCCATAACGAAAAGTATTGTTAACCGTTGAAACTGTTGATAAACAACGAGTTACTCGTTTTATATCACATTATAATTCGTTATTATGAGGGCTGGGCATTCTTTTTAATATGTTAACTGTAACCATTGAATTCAAAACTGAAACAAAGACTGTGTCTAATAAGTATACACGAGTCTATACCCCACTGAAAGGGGCATTTAACTACTAAATAATTACCCTACACATTTGTAAACATTTATATATATATATCCATACACCTGAATAACTTAAAACGTTTTTATTGTTGAACTGATAAACACTTCATTAGAACTCACTGTATTACACATACTAATGATGAGGATGGGAGTATTACACACACACACTAATGATGAGGATGGGAGTATCACACACACATGATGAGGATGGGAGTATTACACACACATGATGAGGATGGGAGTATTACACACACAT